TCTTTTTAAAGAGTTTTTGCTATAAAGATAATTAGATGAAAGGAATGGCAAAGTGAGCATAGTTTTTGTTTGTTTCTTTGTTTTTAAGGTTAAAGAAATGCTTTTATAGTTAAGGGATTGATCTAACAAAGAGATAAAAATTGATGTTTAAAGAAAGAAGGAATTTGCTGGATGGATATCCTTAACAACTCAAGATGGGATGGAATGGGGTTCAATATGCACAAGTAGAGGGGCTGATTTTCAATAGGTGACTTTTAATAAGCAATTCATAGTATAATGAAAGGAAAGCAGAGTGTTTGGATGTAGATGCAGGTGGAGGGAGCATGTGGAAAACTCTTCTAATTGCTTCTATTTTCTCAATGAAAGAGGAAGTGTCACCATCAGGAAGGTGGATTAGCTATGGGACTTGAGGAGACAGAATAAAATGTAAAATATTTATCCAGGAGGGTAGGAGGGAAATGTGGTAGTATAGCCAAGAAGCTCTAGAGTCCCACTGGAGATTAATTATCATGAAATGAGACCTTTAAACATAATTTTATATTTATCTCCAGGGTCATCCAGGAGCAGAGTAAGTTGATAGTTGGATTTAAACTAGATAGATGTTTTAGCCTATGAAAACAATAGAGGGAGGGGGCAGTGTGGCTGAAAGTGAATTGAAGAGAATGAGTAAAGTAATGGATGATGGACTCTAATGTGTGTGAGGAGAGAATTGAGGAAAATAGTGGTGGGTTCCAGGACAGTGGAAGGTAGTAGGATCAGTGGATTGTAAGTCTTGAAGGGGTTGAGAGCCTAGAGATCCTAGAGAGAAAGAGATGGAATTGACAGAAACGCAAATAGTTTAAGATAAGGAAGGGGACATAGTTATTTTTCAGCCTCAACAGAGCCCTGTATTTGTTAAATCGATTCAGTCTCCCAAAGTTGGGAGTTAAACAAAGTTGTATAAATGAAAACATCACTTTCCCATATATTTTTACTAATGTATCTATTTTCCAGAGCTGAGGTTCTTCAAAACTAAGGTTTGAGGAGTGGTGAAGCTAGAGATATCAGAGAAAGGGGCTGGGCAGCTAAGAAGCCATCAGTTACGAGCCTTAAAAATATGTCTGAGAGAGGGAGAGACCTCACTGAATTGATAGTTAGTTGCACTCAGACCATAACTGAGGGAGGCCACAGTTTAAGGCTGGGGTCTATAAGTCAAATGTAATGGAAATATTCCAGACTCTCTGTTCTTGTTAGTTACCATCAAGTCAGCTCCAACTCATGGCAACCTTATGTATAACAGAGTGAAATGTTGCCTGGTCTCCTGCCATCCTCAAAACTATTGGTATGTTTGAGCCCATTATTGCAGTTTCTGTGTCAATCCATCTCATTGATGTTTCCATCTTTTTCACTGACCTCTACTTTACCAAACATGATGTCCTTTTCTAGCAATTGTTCTTTCCTAAACAATGTGTCCAAAGTAAGCAAGAAAAAGTCTCACCATCCTCGCTTCTAAAGAGCATTCTGTCAGTACTTCCTTCAAGACTGGTTTGTTCATTCTTCTGGCAGTTCATGGTATATTAAATATTCTTTGTCAATGCCTCAGAATGTATCAATTCTTCTTTGATCTTCCTTTTTCATTGTCAAGTTTTCACATTTATATGAGGCTATTGAAAAGATTATGGCTTAGGTCAGGTGCACGTTAGTTATCAAAGTGACACCTTGGTTTTTAACACTTCAAAGAGTTCTTTTATATCAGATTTGCCTAATGCAAAACGTCATTTGATTTCTTGACTGTTGTAGAATAGGCAAATGTATGGACACCGAAGTTTTCTTTTCTGCCTCACATGCACAATTTAGTGATATCAGTTACATTAATCATGTTGTGCAACTACCAATAATCGTTGCCAAATTTTCCATCACCATAAACAGAAAGTCACTGCTTTCTAAACAGTGACTACCCCATTTATAGAGACCAAAGTTTATTAGTGGTTAAGAGGGATGTTAGGAGTGTTAGGGAGGGGGAAGGTGGGAGCCATTCCTCAGAGGCACTGAACTTCTGCTAAGAGTGATGGAAAAATTTAGAAATGGAAGTGGTGATGGTTGCACAACATGATGAATGTAGTTAATGTCACTGAATTGAATATGTAAAAAGTATTGAAATGGCAAATATTTTGTTACATATATACACTTACCACAATTTAAAAAAAAGTCAACAACAAAAAAGAAATAATCATTTCTTCTGGAAAGAATTTTTCTGGTGACCCGAGACTCAATTAGGGGATTCTCCACCTATGGAAGCCCATAGCTCCTGGAGATTACTTCTAAATCACATAGGATTAAAATTGCATGCAGGCATGCCTTTCTTCTCTGCTAGATCAAAAGCTCCTCAAAAGCTGAGACAGTATTTTATTCACTTTTGTATCCTTAGCATTTGGCAACTAGTAAGTTCTCAGTACATGCTTACTGAATAAATGAATGGATGAATAGATTGCCAGCTTTCTAGTAATAGCTTTTGGTTTGATTTAATTGATGGAAAGGGAATCTTCACAACAGCAGATGCAACTGATTACATAGCAAATGAAGTCCTGGTGTGGAGCTCACAGCCAAATTAGCATTTGGCTGATCTCTATTTACATGGAATAGCAGAAGCCAACTTCTGTACCAGTTGGGCAGTGTGTATTTTGTTAGAATATGTATAAGATTTGCAACCATGATGATGAATCTAGCTTTTTGGAGCCTCATTATGACCCTTCTAGTTTCCACTGACTATCCTTATCTGGCTTTAAGAATTACAAATCATGTTTCCATATTTCATTTTAATGTTTAATGCTAGCACAGGATTTTTTGAAAAATAAGTAAGGTAGCAAAAAACCCCTTTAAAGTGTTAAAAAGCAAAGAAATCACTATGAGTACTCAGGTGCGCCTGACCCAAGCCATGGTATTTTCAATCACCTCATATGCATGTGAAAGCTGGACAATGAATAAGGAAGACCACAGAAGAATTGATGCCTTAAAATTATGGTGTTGGTGAAGAATATTGAATATACCATGGACTGCCAGAAGAACAAACAAATCTGCCTTGGAAGAAGTACAGCCAGAATGCTCCTTAGAAGCAAGGATGGTGAGACCTCGTCTCACGTACTTCGGACATGGTATCAGGAGGGACGAGTCCCTGGAAAAGGAGTCCCTGGAAAAGGAAAAGGATGCTTAGTACAATAGAGGGTCAGTGAAAAAGATGAAAACCCTCAACGAGATGGACTGACACAGTGGCTGTGTCAACTATTATGAGGATGGTGCAGGACCATGCAGTGTTTTGTTCTGTTGTACATAGGGTTGCTATGAGTCGGAACTGACTAGATGGTACCTAATAACACAACAATATGGCAGGCAGTTAAAATACAAAGCAACAGACTGCTCTGTGAAATGAATAGGTTCAGAGACTACAGGTACAAACTACCTTAAAGGAAAACTCATTCTCTTTTTATTACTTCACACCTCAGGGTGCCAAACTTGCATTTAATTCATGGTTTTAAAAGAGATTTTATGTCTACCCATAATCTGTTCTCACACGGGTTGCTTAGGAGAGGTTAGCTATTTTCAGTTAAAATTGATCCACCTTCACCAGACTTGTGGTTCAGCAGCAAAGATTGAAGTACATGAATCTCTTAAAAAGTCCTGATGGGCTTGGATTACACATATCACATTAATTATATGAGGAAAACATCTGAAAATATACTTTTTTGAGTTTCAGAGAAATCGTATTTACTATTTCACAGAACAGAAAATGTTAAACCTAATTTGATGCTTAACACCCAAAGTGACAAAAAAAAAAAAAAAGCTTCTTGCATTCCAAAGTATCTCCTTGAGGCAGTATAATGACTCTAAGTAGGAGTAATTATGAGAAAGCTTACTGCCAAAGATAATTTTTTTATATAAAATTGAGTTAGCAATCATTAAGTCTGAATTCCATCATATCAGATGCCCAGAATAAAATATGTCTGATTCTTTAAAATATTTCCAAATTCAGCCAATGGGCGAGATCAGTTGATGTTAGACAGAAAAATAGTCCAATTCCTAGTTGCTTAGAATGTATTATAGTCTTTATATTTTATTTTATCTGCATACTAAACTAATTCTCCCCAGTGGACATAAAGCAGGGTTAGTTCAATCCACTTGAGGGACTATATACACTTTTTCCAGCCCCAAACCTTAGGAATTAAAGTAAAATATGGGAAAGACACTTCTCAATAATCGATAAAACAAAGAATTTCATGATACTACCAAGTCATATAAATTATGTAATAACAAAATTGACAAAACAAATGTCTTCCATATTTTTCAGATTCCATGCTATGATTTGGAATTGACTCAATGGCAATGGGTTTAGGTTTTTTGGTGATAATAAATCTGACTGCTTTTCAAAAACATGAGGTATTAGCTTACAGGCTAGTCAAAATATATATGCTGCATTAAACGCTTCTTCTACTACATGATGAAGATCCAATCTATATTTATAGAATATAAGTGAAAATGTCAGGTTTTTAAATTTTTTTCTATTTTTAATAATAAAGAATGGACTCATCTAAGGTATGTGAATGAATATTTTAATATTAAGGTAAATTCAAAAAAGTTAATTCTCAAATATTCCTGATAAAGAAAGTAAAAGATATTGAGCTTTTGGATCTCTCTCTCTCTCCACCCGCCCCCTTCTCTGCCTTTCTCTTTCTTCCTTCCTCCCTCCCTTCCTTTCTTCCTTCCCCTTCCTCCCGCTCTCCCTCCACCCTTCCCTCCTTTCCTTTCTTCTTTCTTTCCTACAGAAACACAACATTATAACCAATAGAATTTGCATAAAGCATTTTTAAAAATAAAAATAACATTTTAATTTTTCCACTTTCAATGCAGTTTGCATTTGGTTGCAGCGCCAGAGAAGTTTGCAGCAGTGTTTTTAGAAGAAACAACAGGAGAAATTAAAAAAAAAAAAAAAAAATCTTCTCAGAATACACTTTTTTTTTCTTTTACAGAATATTCTGAAGCTCTTCCTAGTCTCCCTACTTCATATGCCACTTTGCTAAGAATTAAGAAAAGTTCATCTGCAGCCTTGTTTGGTTCAAAGAACAGACCACGATACAGTAGTCCTTCATTAGGAACAATGAGTGTTTCTTCACCCAGTTGGCGAGGGGCAGCTCAGCATTATTATTCCCCCATCAATCTTTATCATTCCTCAGAAGCCTTCAAACAGGATGGTAAGTTTGTCATCTGCTTGAGACATCTTTCAGGATTCTTTATGCATTTCACTATTATTTAACTATACCTTATACCAATCCTGGTTTAGGATTAAGATTAAATGAACTCACATATACTGTGAGTAAAAAATGTAAAATTTTCTGGGGGGCAATTTGATAAAGAATATCAAGAGCCTTAAAATAGTCATATCTTTCAATCCACTGGTTTTATTTCCAGAAATGAATTCTGAATAAGGAAATAATAAGCAATGCACACAAAAATATATGTGTACAGTTAGCATTATTTATGAGTGGAAAATAAGAAACAATCTGAATACCAACACTAAGAAATCAGTTAAATTAAGGACTACTGTGCAACTATAAAAAATTTTGATTTGATAGAGAACATTTTCTAGATGTTCTCTCTGTCATTTTTAAATATACCAAAGAAATAATACAAAGTTATTTAATAGTGAGAATCACTAGTGCTTATTACCAGGGCCTGTATTAGGCCCTTTTAAATAGCTTATTTCCTTTAATTTTCTCAACATATATGAGGTAGATATTGTTACTGCCTTTTACAGAAATGGAAACTCGGGCAAATAAGTACCTTGCTCAAGGACACCTTGCTAATAAGTAGTAGATCTAGTTTTCATTCACATTATCTACTGATTTGATGCCCAGTAATCTTGGGCTTCAGGATTCCTATGTGGTGCAAATAGTTAAGCACTTCACTGCTAGTCGAAAAATTGGCAGATTGAACCTACTCAGAAATGCCTCGAAAGACAGTCCTGGTGATCTGCTTTAGAAAGATCACAGCCTTGAAAACCCTGTGGAGCAGTTCTGCTCTGCACACATGAGGTCACCTTCAGTTGGAATCGACCTGATGGCAACTAACAACAACAACACTCTTTGGGATACATTGCAATTCTGGCCGATGAAGGACTGAACATTTAAAATAACATTTCACAAGACCTAAACTACTTGGGAAGCCCTGGAGGCACAGTGGTTAAGAGCTCAGGCTGCTAACCAAAGTGTTGACAGTTCAAATCCACCAGCTGCTCCTTGGAAACCTTATGGGGCAGTTCTACTCTATTCTGTAGGGTTGCTAAGAGTCAGAATCAACTCAGCTGCAACAAGTTTGGTTTTTTTTTTTTTGTTTTTTTTTTTGATTTAAACTACTTGGAGCAATTTTAGAAATGCCAAATTAGGCTATAATGCAAAGAAGAGGCAAACTCATTCCTCATGATTATACAAATTGCAGCCATGTAGAGCATCATCTCATAATGTTGGCCTTGAAATTTTATTTAAGCATAGTGTTAGCATCCTGTAAATGTGTTTTATTTTTCAAAATATTTATACTTAGTATAAGGTAACTTTCAAACTTTCCATTATATTAACTCTAATGTCAGACTCAATCAGGAAGAAATGTTCTTTAAGCATCATTATTTTATGGAATGACACCAAGGTAGAAGGTATTGCACAATCGGAACAATGCGCTACTACAATACCAAAAAAAAAAAAAAACCCAAACGCGTTGCAGTGGAGTCGATTCTGACTCACAGGGACCCTATAATATTTGGTATAATTTGATACCAGCTAGTGTTCTACTCCTTAGTTCTCTTGTTCAAAATAGAAGTTAAAATAACTCAAACGATAACTAAAATACAGCTAGAAAATATGAATTAAAATACATGAAAATGTTGAAAACAATAAACATTGGGACTTAAAAAGGAGCCAGGTGTGAGACTAATTCAAAGTGTCCACTGTAAATGCCTATGTACTAGCTGACGGCTGGTCCCATTTTAGGTAATTAGCAGTCAAGGGATAGGAAAAAAAAATCTAGCCAATTATATATTTCCCGGTGTTTCCAAGATTGAAATGAAATAGTTATTCAGTAGAAGTACAGTTATTTCCAACACTAAGGTCAGCCAGTTTTTTCTGGCGGCTCCCTGGGGGTGTTGTGGTTAAGAGCTAAGGCTGCTGATTAAAAGGTTGGCAGTTCGAATCCACCAGCTGCTGCTTGGAAACTCTATGAGACAGTTCTACTCTGTCCTATAGGGTCGCTATGAGTTGGAATCGACAGCAATGAGTTTGTTTTTTTTTTGGTTTTCCTCATTAAGAATATGTCTTTGATGCAATGAGCAGTAACCTGAACATTATTCTTAGTATATACATAATAATGAGTTTCATCTGCTTCAGTAAAGGCAGATGAAATCTAAACATTAACATTGCTTCTCAATCTTCAATATACATTCAAATCACTTGGAACTCCTGTTAAAATATACATCCCCTTTCAATAGATCTGGATTATAGGCTGCGTTTATTTAAAAAAACTCCCAGGTGATACCAATTCAATGCTTCCTGTCTGTGGACCATACATACTTTGAACAGAAAGGATCTAGACTAGGAACCAATATGATATAATTTCAGGCACTTTATTGATCTAGTTTAATACAGATTAAAGTATCAGGAATAATGAACATTCTATATGTTTTCCAAGCAATCTTCTGTAACTATTGCTTTCTCATTTGAGCATTTGATAGATATTGGCTGGATATGACTTTGAGTTTCTTCTGACGCGAGTCACATATGGCTCTTGTCAAGTAATTCCCCTTAGCTTTAATAGAGAGTAAAGCTGGATTGACATGTGAAAAATGAGAAAATTAACCGAGCTTGAATAGAAAGTCATCCCACTTCTGCTCAGAATTAGGCCAAGAAGTACCCCAGATAGAGCTCAGAGTTTTCTGAGAAACATAATATCCCAGTTTGCAGAACAACTTGTGTCAGGGTGGAAGTATGCTCCATAGGGTTTTCAATGGCTGTTTTTTTTTTAAAGTAGATCACCAGGCCTTGCTTTGGATTCTACTCTCAGTGGAGTAGAATTGCCAACATTTTGGTTAGCAGCTGTGCACATTAACCATTCGCACCACCCAAGGACTCCATAGGTGTTGTGTAGGATTTTATCTTAGAAATTAATAGAGAGATACTCAGGTTTGTCATGCATAAATTCGTTTAAGTTATTGCAAGGTAGTCATGGCAAGGCATGCAAATAAGACCTCACAGCATTCATTTAGACTTGGAGAATCAAAATTAACAATTAAAATTACAATGTTAGTTCAATGGTTAGAGTCCAAATCTTTAGACTTCAAGCCTTTACCTTTAAGGAGAGGTCTCCAGAGGAAGGCTTAATCACAGCTGGAACTCTGAGGAGGTCCCTAACAAACAGAGTCCAAGGTCAGTGGCAGTGAATAGAATCTCAGCTCCATCTCTGCCTCCTCTCAATGAGTGAGGAGAAACTTATGATTTATATGTGAATTTGTTACCTTGACTCCACAAAACAAGAGCCAGTATGATATGTTATGTCTTTTCTACAGGGTTAGAGAGTAGCCAAATGACTCATCTCTTCAAAGTTAGAAATTAAGAAGTTTGTTTAGATTTATGTTTAAATGCTAGTTCACAATGATTAACTATGCCACGTCTTTTTTAATACAGTATGTCAGGTCAAAATGAACTTAAAGATTGTAACATTCTTTACCTACTTTTTACATGCTTCTATGTTTCTGTGTCTAAGTTCAGAAATTTTCTAAATAACTTTATTATGATCTACAAGTTACTAATGACTTACAGTTAATTTTAGAAAGTCTCACAAAGTTATAGATATTTCTATTTCTAACTTCTTATTATGAGTGTTTATACATATGTATTTAGAAAGCATAATAGTAACTTATACCTTATAGAATTTGAGATCATTATAGAAATACACAAAACAATAGGGAAGATAGATGACTTCAATTTTGTTTGTGATATTTTATTTCTTTAAAAAAAAAATACAACGGAAACATGCACAAGCACCAGAAGAGAGAATAGATAACTGGGAGCTTCTAAAAATCAAACACTTATGCTCATCAAAAGACTTCACCAAAAGAGTAAAAAGACAACCTGCAGACGGGAAAAAATTTTTGGCTACGACAAATCCAATCAGTGTCTAATCTCTAAAATCTACAAGATACTGCAAAACCTCAACAACAAAAAGACAAATAACCTATTTAAAAAATGGGCAAAGGATATGAACAGGCACTTCGCCAAAGAATATATTCAGGCAGCTAACAGACACATGAAGAAATGCTCACGATCGTTAGCCATTAGAGAAATGCAGATCAAAACTACAATGAAATATCATCTTACCTCAACAAGGCTAGCATTAATCCAAAAAACACAAAAGAATAAATGCTGGAGATGTTGTGGAGAGACTGGAACACTTATACACTGTTGTTGGGAATGTAGAATGGTACAACCACTTTGGAAATCGATTTGACGCTTCCTTATAAAGCTGGAAATAGAAGTACAATATGATCCAGCTATCCTGCTCCTTGGAATATATCCTAGAGAAATAAGAGCCATCACACAAATAGATATATTCACACCCCTGTTTCATTGCAGCACTATTCATGATAGCAAAAAGATGGAAACAACCTAGGTGCCCATCAACGGATGAATGGATAAACAAATTATGATATATCCACACAATGGAATACTACACAACAATAAAGAACAACGATGAAACCATGAAACATAACATGGAGGAAGCTGGAGGTCATCATGCTAAGTGAATTTAGTCAGTCACAGAAGGACAATTATTGTATAAGACCACTATTATAAGAACTCAAGTAAAGGTTTAAACGCAGAAGAAAACATTCTTTGATGGTTATGAGGGTGGGGAGGGACTGTGAGGGTTATTTACTAACTAGATAGTAGATAAGAATTATCTTAGGTGAAGGGAAGGATAGCACACACTATAGGGGAAGTCAGCACAACTGGACTAAACCAAAGCTAAGAAGTTTCCTGAATACAGTAAAACACTTTAAGGGACAGAGTAGTAGGGGCAGGGGCCTGGGGACCATGCTTTCAGGGGACATCTAGATCAACTGTCATAACAGAGCTTATTAATAAAATGTTCTGCATCCTACTTTGGTGAGTGGCATCTGGGGTCTTAAAACCTTGCAAGCGGCCATCTAAGA